TAGGAGAGAGGTGTGGAACGAGTTTTACGCTGAAAATAACATTATTAGCGCCAGACTTCCGGCAAATCTCTTCCCGAGGCGTCTCAAATTTTCCCGCCGGTGGAAAAACGCGCGTCCTGCAGCGCTGATCATGAAGGCGTGCTCGAAAGCTAGGTTTTCACGTGAGAAGCTAGATTTGGAGTCTGTGCTTTAAACACGAGTGTGGGTGATGATTCAGGTGAGAGTAACATAGCAGCACAAGCCTGCAGTAATGTTTAATGTTCTGCACAACTTGTGTAGTTTTAACTCCCAAGTTCGCGGATTCTACCGCAATTTGAGATCACTGAAGAGAAAGTTTGTGATTAATGCTTTTCTTTCGTTCTGCTGAGTCATGCTTTGTCGATATCTTGTTATTAATTTACGTTATCAGCTCAGTTGATAATATTAAATTACCCTTGTGTCTTTCGTAGTTAAAAAATTTGACGTCTGGAACGTCGACTGGAAGCAAGATTTCGCCCTTGGTATATATATAGGACAGCAGTTAGATCTTGCCATCACGTTATCCCCTCAACTGTACGCCAGAGACATAGAAATCGCACTGACGATTATCACCACTCTGTTTGGATACGAGAGTCAACAAAACTCCAGCACGCTTGTTTCAGCCAAGACCAAGGAGTTTACAAAGGTGCGAAAGTTATAGAAATTTATTGCAGAAACCGCATAATTTCCATCTCAGTCATTTTAAAGTAAAGATATAGTACTTACCGCAGTTTGAGCATCCAAGGGGATTGTATTCTCTGGGTAGTTGTCTTAAAATGAGCAGAATATTCGCCATAGTGGCCGCCGCCGAATTCAGCTCATTTGGCGGGAATCGAAACGCTCGCACCTCAAGCAACGATCCCATCATGCCTAGCTCTTAACTCTTTGACCCCTAAGAATGACTAGCATCTAGTTTCTCCCTACGATATCATCCCTGAATAAAATATTACGGTCATGAGAATGAAGGAATTGATCACCAGTTAAGGAAGCTCTAGATAGTTTAACAAATTCTCCTTGTCAGGACCTTTGGGGTACCCTGATAGGGTTAACTGTTAAACATTGCCTGAATTTTTGCCACTTTCAAAGGCAGACCTCCTCGCGTGAGGAAGACCTGTTGAATCAGAAAACGCGTTCACTGTCTTATCTGCGTAAGTTTTCGTGGCGGAGGTAATAGTTGTATAGTGTCTGGATTTCCCATTTCTTGCCAAGTCACAAGAAACCTACAGTCAAGAAGTGAAATTGTGACTAAGAGAGCTGTTTCGAAATGATGATGTGGCACAACGTACAATTTTTTTGGACGGGAAAATCCTCTTTTAATTTAAATATGCAGCTGCGAATGTGCAAATGAAGTTCACTGGTCAGTTTTTTCACCCTGAAGAGTGACTAGCATCTAATTTCTAATTTGGAAATGATCAACAACTACAGAAGCTCAGGATCGTTAAGCCAATTCTCTTTGTCGGGACCTTAGGAATTGTAAAGAGAACAGTATGGAGAATATGCATACTGATGTTAGGGTGTAAAGGGTTAAAGAAAGTTTTGCCAGAAAACTCAACCAAGAGAGTAGTTTACGGATCAAAACCGACTTTTCGATCCGGAATCCCTTGCTCCTACAATTTCTGCGTCTCTCAAGAACAACAACTTAAGCAACTATTTGATATGATCCACAGGTCCTTCTTCAGTCAGCCAGTACGCTGTTTAGCTCCGATAACAACGATGCGTGGGAAGTCGTTCAACTGGTAATAATTATTGGATCAGTATCTGAGCAAGTCTGTACCTACCTCTCCCCTAACCCCAGAACAGTCAACCAATAACAAATTAGTGTTATTTTTGGGCTAGGGGAGGGGTAGGTGCGCAGTTGTGCAGGTCCTGATATAAATCTGAATTATTTTTGCTGTTATTTTATTTTTTTGCAAGTAATCCACGGTCGATTTGTCGCCGGTTTTTATTTCGCTATGCTCTCCAATTGGCTTGTGAAACTCACGCCCTTTCGGCCATTCGCATTACTGCAAACAGTAGCCAATAACGAGTTTTTAACCGTGATCATCATACTTGTTCTGAAAGCGCGCTTCTGCTAAGATATTTTCAGATGTCTGTGGTCATTCGTTGACTTGCACAAACTGTTGTCATGCGCAATCCGTAGCAAACGTGGGCAGACATTAGCTACCAAGACGCAATTATCAATGGCCGATCGTCACAAAAGAACACAAAATTTCTCCGAGAACGCAAAAAAAGAACGAAAAATTTCGGCCGAGCATCACAAAGCACACAAAATTTCTCTTCAAATTCATTTGAATATTTTTCCTACAAACACATGACCAGTGGATTGTGAGCTCCTTGTTTATACCGACACTAGCTCGGAGGCACTGGCAGTGAGGTTAAGAGTTTTGTAAGGCGATTTTTGGGAGCAGTAGATATCTTTATGTACACTTAACCCTACTATTACCTTCCGTTGGCCTTATAAGCCTCTTATCTTGACTGCTGTTTCTTTCAATTTGACAGCACTCCGCAGGGACAGCGGCTCTATTAAAACAGATGGAAAACTTCAGCGGAAACTTAGCCAGAAGTCTACCGTACTTAAAACGAGACTTGCGCAGATACAGGCGCTCTACCGAAAGCATTTTGCCACCGTACACGATTATTACTCCCAATATTGGTAAGAAATATATTTTGTTGAGTTTGCTGTGTGTAACGGGGCTGTGTCGCATTTTGAGGTAATTTTAGTACTTACTTGTCGGGGAATTCCTCCGCTCTGTCTCATAAGTGATTGAAATGTTCCAAACAATATCACTGCATTTTTTGGAATTTAAAATTATGAAAAACGGATGATGTCAATAGAGATTTCTGATCATTTTGGGCATTTTATTTGTGGTGTTTGAGTTAAGAAGCGCACGATATCTATGTCAGAGATTTATGAAATATTCCTAAACGGCATTCAACGCTAGAGAATAT